CTCTCCCCCCCCCCCCCCCCCCCCCCCCCCCCCCGGCCAAGTCCCTTACCTTGTCGATGGCGGGGAACCGCAATGGGGGGCATTGGCAGGCGACGGCGGGGTCAGCGGGGTCACGCACGCTGGCGGGCAATGGCAGGTGCTGGCGGCGGCGGAGTTCCGTGTCGAAGTCCAGCGGAGCGACAACTGCAGGGCAGGGAACAGGGGGACCCGTCTTCCCCCGAACACAACGCACCCTCATTTTGGCTGTATCGGGCTGGAAATATAACTCGTATACATTCATTTTAAGGGTGCGTTATGTTCGGGGGAAGACGGTAGGGGGTACACCGTGAGAATGGGGGAGGGAACGGGGGCCGGTAGTTCCCTCCCTCACCGATTTGAAATCTCGGCCATCTGGGCCGTCGATTTTTGAGATCGACGATCCAGATCGGGCCCGATTTCGAATTGGTGAAATCGGGCCTGCCGGCCCCTTCTTTTTTTTTTCGTGGTCTGCATGGTCTGTCACGAGGGCGAAAAGGCCCCCAGCGCCGAAAAAAAAATAAAAAAATTAACCTACACTGATGCGCTGGGGGCACCGGTGGCCAACCGGGCATGACAACTGGCCAGGCGGCCCGGCTCCCCCCCCGGGCAACGACCAGGCCGCCGGGCGGCCCGGGGACCAGCCTAGCCTATAGCACTAAACAAAATGGGTATTAGTTTCATCATCCTTGGGGTGGCAAATTCTGACGAAAACATAATTTCGTTTTCTGGTAATATGAAAACAGAATTTGCCCAAAAATGAGTGTACCTAAACCAATCACTTTCGTTGATTAGTGATGTACTTACCAGCACATGTAGAGAACCTCCTAAGTCCAATATGGACCTAACACACCTGAAGCGCACTGCAGACTCGATCTTAAATGAAAATGAAAAAGATGAGAGCATACGGTGGAACCGGTGAACCATTCAAATCTCTTCTCGAATGGGGCAGAGGGCTCGTAGTACCTTTATTTCTATTTTCGTTTTGCTTTTCAATTCTTTGAATTTGATTCGGACAGCTTCAGTCATCCAAATCCCAGACCTCAAACCGCAGACCTTTGGGACCCTGGTCCAGATGCCCGGATGGTAGCCATGCCACATACACACATACATGTTTTGCAGAGCCACCCGCCCTTCCATTTGAAGAGCACCTGCATACACATTTCAGACAGAAACCCGCCTTGTTCTCTGAGCAGCAGCGAGGTCTGGGATCTGGGCAGAGCAGAGGTCACTGATCAGACAAGCAGAGGTCACTGATCAGACACGCCTGTATCACCTAGTCTTACAATACAGCTATCGAAACAAGGAAGGGAAGGAAGGGGGCAAGAGGGAGAAGGAAGGGTGAGAAAGGAGAGCAGAAGCAGAAGAAGAGGGGGGGGGGGGGGGGGGGGGGGGGGAGGGAACACAAAAACAGCATAGAAGTTGCCGCATGATGCGAGGGTCGGGTCTTACCACATCCAAGGCCTCAATATCAACCCTGCAGATGGGACAAAGACGAAACAGTCCAAAGTCCAAAACGCACTCCGTAAGTCAAACACAAACCACACATGCAGACCACCTATGGTAATTGTGTGGATTTCAAATAGAAAAAGAGAAAAACAATCACAATTTTGTCATGAGGTCAAGCAGCAAAAGAAACAGTTCTCAACCTTTCCGACGAGAGCTAGACAAAGCTCAAAACAGCACCAATATTCTCAGTAGGTTGCAAAAATTCCCACCTGTAATTCACCTGGGCACATTAGTGAGACTGCATCCCCCCACCTTTTCCCCAAACACGCAGTACTTCACCACATCATGCGTTAGCACTAACTCATCCCTTTGAGAGAAACAGACATGCGCATGTCTGAGCCCGCCTGCGGGGGGAAGTGAGAAGAGCCAAGCAGCTACTCCTTTCTTGGACTCCTCGCCCCTCCTCCTCCTGGTCACTCGCTTGTCCTCCTTACCCTCCTCTTTTTTCAACCATCCATGTTTTTCCTTTTCCTCTCCTGCTTCTCATCCTCGCATCCATAGACCTAAGCCTCCGTGTCGACTGCTTTGCTCCCTTTGTCCATCTCCTACTCCAAGTGCTCTCCTTATCATCGCCTGCCTCATTTACCGTATTACTCCCAATTAGCTTGTTTTGTCAAACAGAAAGCTCCGTCCATCACTCATTCGCTACCTACCTACCTCTTCCGCTCCCTCCCTCCATCC